TAAAACATCGATATTAGGCTAAACTGTGTTAATGTGAATTGTAATAATAATAAAAAATAGATATTTAGTTCTAGAATAAATATTTTATCTATTTAAAGTGGAAAGTGACGCAAATTGATTCTTGTTTTTGTGATTTTCCTAATATTGTCCTTTTTAATAACATCTTAACATATTTGATTTCTTTTTTCCGATCTCAACAAATAATTTAAAGGGAGTGTTCGCGTAAAATGAAAGGGGGTATAGGCTTACGGCTAAAAATAAGCGCTTTTGATCGCTGCTAATCTTACTTCTATCTGATGCGTCGACAAGGAGAAAATTGTTTAAAATACTTATACTGAAGAACGTAGCGTCCATACAAATTTGGAAAGTTGCATCATTCGATCGTAAAATAATCAATCTAATTCCAAAAAAATATAATTCAGATCTTGCAAATAATTTTCAACGCATTCGTATATAGTTGATATTTCATAACATTTTTTATTTTTCATGATCTGAGAGTTACTTTTAAAAACTTTTATTCCTGTTTCGAGGATTTTTGATAATGAAGACGACATTTTCATATTTTCCAGGAATGTTCGAAAATCCAGCGCCAGCGAAATATTATTTAAAAAAAACAAAAGCAAAAATATTATGAAATATTAACTATATACGAATTCGTCGAAATTAATCGGTTACTTTTGTTTGTAATATCTGAATGATTTGTTTGGAATGAAATGGATTATTTTACGATGCGCTTATTTTTCGCCTTAATTTATCGCGAACACTCCCTTTAAATAGAATTTTCTCTTTAAATCTCTTCAAATAAAATGGGAATTTTTAGAAAAAGAAATGTTCACAGATCAAAAAGAAAAGATTTTACAGGTTGTATCTTATCTATATATTTACAGGTTGTATCTTATCTATATATTTACAGGTTGTATCTTATCTATATATGTCTATACTTTGCTAGTCTGGGCGTTTTATTGCTTTTTTTTCAAATTTTGTTTTCCTAAACGATCACTTTCTTTGGACGTTTTTAATATATTAAATTTTTGCTTCAAAATCTTTTAAAAGGTGATGTTAGATAAAAAAAAATTTTAAAAAATATTACAATACAATTTTCGTTTTTGTAAAATCTTTTATAAAATTTCAACCTCCCCTCCAAAAATGTCTAGTTGACTGTTGGCCTATAAATTATATAAAGTAATAATTCATTTTTATTTTTATAAAATTGTAAAAATACATTTTCGTAATCCATCTAGAAAAAAATCTAAAACTTTTTTCACTTTCCTTAGCGATTAAATACATCGTAAACAAATATGACTGCTATTAAATGATTCATAATTTCTATTCTTTTATGATGAACTCACAACTCATTTTTGTTCACTACTCCCTTTAGGTTAGCACTTGAGCATCATACAATTGTTCAAACTAAAAAATTAAATTCAATAAAAGGGAATTGATTTTTTGTCAAAAATTTAAATTTTCTAATGCTTAAATCTTTGCAACATGATGGTGTAAACCTATTATATTTCAAAATTAGATCAGTCGAACCAACAGAATTCATCGTTTGAAATATCTATGGTCATACCATGGGTTCTAAAGATATAGGGATAAGAAAATCAGTGTATTTTACAAAGACTCAATTCCCTTGTAGGATTTTTGTAGAAACATTTATATATAAACAATGAATTGCATGTACAACAGGTTTTTTTATTCTCCGTGAAATGTCAATAGCTTATTCATTTTTGATTTCCCCTTTAACTTGAGCTCTGGTGCTATATAGGATAAATTTAGTAAAGAAATATAGAATATATCACGCAACCCCTTGGCAGGGCCTAGGCCGGGGAAATGAATAAGTGTCAACATTTATTCATAAACCTTCACAGCAACCTTTCTCACACCAAATTAGCAATATTATTCATTTTTAAACAATGTTTATAGCAATATTATTTATACTTTACCTATAATAGCAATATTGTTTATTTCTACATCATGAAGAATTGAGTCTTTGCCACAAACTCTGATTCTCTAATCCCTATATTTTTGCAACCCAAATTTGAGTTTTTTTTCCGGTAAAATGAACATTTTTTTACATTTAAACTGTATGTTTTCATTGATTGAAGTATTTAGATTAATAAATAGAAATATCCAGATATCTTTTATTAATCTTTAAATAATTAGTTGAAAATGACCTAATTCTTATAGTCTGAAATAAAACTATAAAACTAGAAAATTACATAATTTAAGAAAAGTAAAAAAAGAACGTTTTCCCCGGGCTATATTAATTTCCCTTGCTGTAACATTAGTAGTTACTCAGCCTTGGTCTTATATCAACCAATAGTATAATAAATACTATAAATAAATATATATTTATATATATATGCATATCAACCAATAGTATAATAAATACTATAAATAAATATATATTTATATATATATGCATATCAACCAATAGTACAATAAATACTATCAATATATATACATCTATAACATATGCATGATTAAAACAGTTCAGTTTCTCAACCTATTTCTCGAGGGGCAGTTTTTTTTATTTATATTAAACAGTGATAAATATTCTTGAATGCAAAGAATGCCTGATTCACCCTTCAAACCTTTCCTGCGGGAAAATATTCTGCGGGATAAATATTCTGCGGGATAAATATTCTTGCATGCAAAGAATGCCTGATTCTCCCTTCAAACCTTTCCTGCGGGAAAAATACGCAAATCACTTTTGTATAGAAACCAAAAATTGAAAATAATAAATTTTTAAAATTATTTAAACACTAATATCTAATTTATACTTCATCAGAAAAGGTTTTAATGGAACAGTTGAGAAATGCCCACTTACAAATTATTGTTTGTACTTAATAATGTCAAACAAATGTCATGAGAAGCAACGACTATTTTCAAAATAAAAGCGAATGAATTGAAGCCTGATGGTGTAAATTCATAATATTTCAAAATTTGATTATTAAATCTAACAGAATTCCTAGTTTCAAATATCTAAGGTCTACGACATTGTCTTGCAAAGATATAGGGATTAGAAAATCAGTATTTGTAGAAAATACTCAATAACCTAAGAAATCGATTTGTTTAAAGGGAGTGTTCGTGAAAAATGAAAGGGGGTATAGGCTTAATGTGATAAAAAAGCGCTTTTGATCGCTACTAATCTTACTTCTATCTGTTGTGTCTATAAGGAGAAAATTGTTAAAGACGTCTCATACCGAATAACTTAGCGTCCATACAAATTGAGAAAATTGCAACATACGACTTAGACTGTAAAAAAATCAATTTAATTTCAAACAAATCATTCAGATATTACAAACAATAGTCATCGATTATCTTTTGCCACATTTGTATATAGTTGATTTTTCATAATATGTTTTAATTGTTATGATCTGAGAGTTACTTACAAAAACATTTATTCCTGTTTCGAGGATTTTTGGTAATGAAGACAGCATTTTCATATTTTTCAGCAATGTTCGAAAAAAAATTGTAAGCTAAATATTATTTTAAAAAACAAAAACAAAACTAGTAGGAAATATCAAATATATTCGAATATGTCGAAAAACAATCGATGACTATAGGTTGTAATATCTGAATTATTTGTTTGAAATTAAATTGATTTTTTTTACGGTCTAAGTCGTATGTTGCAATTTTCTCAATTTGTATGGACGCTAAGTTATTCGATATGAGACGTCTTTAACAATTTTCTCTTATAGACGCAACAGATAGAAGTAAGATTAGTAGCGATCAAAAGCGCTTTTTTACGCTTTAAGCCTATACCCCCTTTCATTTTTCACGAACACTCCCTTTAATGTTTATTTTTTAGTCTTAAATCGAGTTTTGTTTTCAACGAATTCAATTATCTTTAATTATAAACGCAACACAATAAAGTTAAGGGTAAAAGAAAAAACTAAAAGCAGATATTTATGATTTATTTTTATTTTTTAGGGATGTTGCTTTTTTAGTTTAATATTCCTACTCTTCTAGAAAAAGTTAAATTTATTAGATTTTGTATAACAGAATTATTGATTACTAAGCTTCCAGGGCACTTCGCACACATCTTGATTTTAACTTTTAATTGACTTTAGCAAACAATTTCAAAACAAATATTCTTTTTGCAGATTTATCAATTTTTACGTATTTGAAAGATCGAAATTCTGACCATCCTTAAACCTTCCATTGGCCGGTTCGTGTGGACGTTTATTAGATACAAAAAATAAATGACAAGCAACTTTTGCATTTTAGGATGAAAAGCATTTTATTTATGCATACAAATTTTCAGAATTTAAGATGAATACAAAGGCCAGTCTGCAATTGCTTCAATGTATTTTAAAATCCTCTGCTCAAGGTTCAAAAAGTACACAGAGTCCCAGACCTACACAGAGTATGCAGAGCTCACAGAGTATACAGGATAGAATTCATGTCTGTATCTTAATTTTTAACAATCAAATTCAAATTCAAAGAATATGAAAACAACTCTTCTAAAATAATATTATTCCAAGGATCGATATTTTTGCGACTTTTGATACAAAATATTCTTAAAGAAATTTATTTTGACCCGTATTTATACATCCCCGATTCACAACGGTACCCATGAACCATTTTTTAAATTACCAATAAGAAATACATCGTCATATCTGGTCTCTACTGCATGAATCCTCCAGTTACTTAACAGAAAACTGCGATTGAAAATAGTCAAGGAACCCCTCAAATAGATTGTCAAAGATATATAATTAAATGATACCACTTTCAATACTCCATGATATTGTTTGATTGAATCTGATTACTACAAACTACGTTTTAGATCCCTCTTCTATAATATCTAATGTACAATCTGAAATTATTGTTCCTTGTTACGTTAATAACATTCACATTCATGTTTATCTTTATACAAAATTACTTTGTGACCGTAGAATATGTATCATATCTATTAAATAAAAAAGATTCCGTCACCCAATCCCAAAAAAACAAAAATTAAAAAGACATGAATGAAATTTGTAGAAACAAAATAAACCGTTAAAAGCCAACAAAGACAAACGTACGAAGAGGAAGAATGGAAGATCGAGGAAGAAATCAAAAGATCATGAAATTGACAAGAAATCTGAAAAAGATTCAGAAAATAATGAAAGAGAAAAGAATTTTGAAAAACAGATTCACTCACCTCTCTCAGATGGCGATAGTTCAAGTAATTTCGAATTCAAAATGATTAAAAAGTCAAGCGACTAAAATGGCTGACTGCCAGTTTTATTGTAGAACAAAATAATTAGGTTCTAATCAATGCTTTTTGGTCTTTATTAGCAATTTATTCCAATAAGTCATCATTAAAATGTCTTATTCTTCAAGTAAAAATGAAAAAGTTACTGTATCAAATAATAAGTAAATCCTGGAATCCGAACTGTACTGTATATTGTGCACTGTACATTTTCTCGCCGTACATTTTCTTTCTGTACAGGTCAAACAGCTGATCCAGTGTATTCAATACCCCCAGCTGTACAGGTACTGACTTTTTTCGCCATTTTATTTTAAAAACATTCAAAATTTCTCTTTCTGGCTGAATAACGTTGAAGTTAGAATTAATTTTTTCAGCGAATTTGAAAGATTAGATTAAGCCGACAACATTGAAAAATAATGAAATCATGTTGTCTAAAATATTGTCTAAAATGACAAAAAAGTTTGTTTTTGTCAAAATTAAATAAAATAAATTATATTTATAAAAGAACTGTAAACGTAAGTTCCAATGATCCTCCATTTAAAAGTGCCATGTCCGATTTACAATGGTATAATCGTATAAAAACGGTCGCAAATCGTTTTTATAAAAACGATCGTTTTTAGAAACGATCGTTATCGTTTTCTTAAAGTTCAAAAACAGTGGGTCGTCTTTAAAAACGATCGTTTTTTTCCGAATACGAAACGTTCGTTTTTGAAAACGATTTAAAAACGAAACAAAAAACGAACGTTAAACGATCGTTTTCAAAAACGATTAATAACCTTACGTACACACTCTGAGTCACATTTCAAGGGGAAAAACCATAAAAAAAATATAACAAAATTGGTAAAATATATTTCTTTTTTTATAAAATTTTCAGGATTTCTTGGGTCTTATTGCTTGTGAATCCGAGACTGTGGAAAAAGGAAACTATGAAAAAATAAAGGAAACATGATAAAATAAAAATTAGAAAAATTGTATTTTTGAAAAAACATTTCTAACGCCGCTGTTAAGAATTTTCAACCATTAAAAGTTAAATTGTTGGATATTGTTTCGAAGTTAGTTGGTATTTGTTGTTTATCTGTTTGAAAGGAAGAAGATTTGCGCGGAAATATTCGGAAAGGAACCGGAAAGGAATCTGGAGGAAGAGGAAATAGTGAAAGGAAACGAAAATTGTCTGTCTGCAACATTAAGCAAGGTACATGGTGTCCCATTTTACAAGGTACAATGTGTCCAACTAAACATGAAACACCAAGCAAGGTACATGGTGTCCCATTATACAAGGTACAAGGTGTCCCATTAAACATGAAACACCAAGCAAGGTACATGGTGTCCCATTATACAAGGTACAAGGTGTCCAACTAAACATGAAACACCAAGCAAGGTACATGGTGTATCATTATACAAGGTACAAGGTGTCCCACTAAACATGAAAAACCAAGCAAGGTACATGGTGTCCCATTATACAAGGTAAAAGGTTTCCAACTAAACATGAAACACCAAGCAAGGTACATGGTGTCCCATTATACAAGGTACAAGGTGTCACAAATTCGTTTTCTTTGTTATATTTGACACTTGTGACGTTGTGTATAATTTGTTCATTTCTCTGTTGCCACCTATTGTACTTGATAATCTATTTGCACGTTAACGATATATTTCAAAATAATGGATAATCCTACAGGGTGTCCCAATAAACATGGGAATTCAGTGACGAATTCGATATCGTCTTTTTAAATAATTCTTTGATTTAGTATAGTGATACCTACTGAAAAAGCTGTAATCTGCATGAGTTTCGTCAGCCTTGTTAACATATTGTTTGTTTATGTTTTGATTGCATACGGTTGTACTTAGTAAAACAAGAAAATTACAGTATTACAAACAGAGTAAATTTGGCCGTCTTCACCAGGGAATAGGAAGAAAGGGAAGGAAATGGCTCTGCTCTGGCATGAGAAAGTCAGTCGCACTGCTTTGCGGACCAGTACTTTAAACTAACACACACTCTTTTTGGTGCAGACACACACACATGACGTTTCCGCCCCCTGGTCTTCACTGTATATCTTGCTGATACATTTTTGACACATCTTTACAGTCATTTACCCTTTTCATAAAATAAACTCTAGCAGACATAATAATATTATGGCTTTTGAAATTAGGTATTCCAATGCTAATTCATAACAAAGATGATATCGAATTCGTCACTATATTCCCATGTTTTTTGGGACACCCTGTACAAAACGACATCAGAACGCAGTTCAAAGCTGAAAACTTTAGAATGAGATATCCTTAATCCTAATCAGTTAATAAATCTGTAGATTAATAAGAAGAGAGGAACAAGCCTTATTTAATCCTGGATATTAAGAAAAAGAGGAGATCAAGCATTGATTTCGATATCCACCATTATAAAGTTTTCAGCTCAAAATTATTCTGAACTTTGTTTCTTAAGGTTTGGAGAGAAGATGGCGTCCTGACATTTTTCTTGTAGGATTATCTATTATCTAACAAATTTGTAGATTTCTATTTTTTTGGTGGATTTTTAACTTTCTCTGAACGAAATGAAAGATAAAAAATGTATGGTGCAAAAAATGCAAAAATATTGATCGGATACCATGTCATGAACTAAAGATCCGCGAAATTTGTAGTCTTAAGTTTTTAAAATAAAATCCTACAGAAATTTTTTGATTTGAATGACTTTAAGATTTCTAAATATTGTTCAGGTTTAAATCTTGAACCAGTGCCAGAAGAGGAAGATGAAGGAGGTAAGGAGGAGGAGAAGGAGGAAGATTGGCAGGGAGTTCAACTTGAGTGGACCGGCGTATTAAGACGACCTTCTATACCAGCCACTCAATACACAAGAGTTATTCAGGTCTTTTTAATGATTAAAAAACAAAAATGCAAATCAATAAAAGACATGTTTATGAAATTTTTGCATTTAAATACAATCCAGGGTGTCCGTGACATGTCTTCCTTCTAAAATATATTCTTAGTCCTTGTTCTTTAAATATTTTATTACGATAAAAGAATGGGTTTCAAAGATGATGACAGAAAAATGTTGTCAGAGTATTATTTATCTAGATACCAAATTTAGTTCAGGAAACAAGGTTTACATATCTTCAGATTATGGAATTATGGAATATATTTTAGAAAACAAGGTTTACAGAACTTGAGATTATGGAATTATAGAATATATTTTAGAAAACAAGGTTTACAGAACTTCAGATTATGGAATTATGGAATATATTTCAGAAAACAAGGTTTACAGATCTTGAGATTATGGAATTATGGAATATATTTTAGAAAACAAGGTTTACAGATCTTCCAATTATGGAATCATTGAATACATTTCAGGAAACAAGGTTTTCATATCTTCAGATTATGGAATTATTCAATACATTTCAGGAAACAAGGTTTACAGAACTTCAGATTATGGAATTATGGAATACGTTTTAGGAAACAAGGTTTACATATCTTCAGATTACTGAATTATGGAATATATTTTAGGAAACCAGGTTTACAGAACTTGAGATTATGGAATTATGGAATATATTTTAGGAAACCAGGTTTACAGAACTTGAGATTATGGAATTATGGAATATATTTACATTAGAGTTCCCAACTGGAAGGATTAATAGGAACAGATTATACTATTATTACGTGATAATGACGTTACTGATGAAACTCATGTGTCATGAACAATGAACATGTTCATGACCATGTTCATGACCATGTTCATCAACATGTTAATCACCATGTAAATGGCCATATTCATGACCATGTTCATGACCATGTTCATGACCATGTTCATGACCATGTTCATGACCATGTTCATGACCATGTTCATGACCATGTTCAAGACCATGTTCATGACCATTTTCATGACCACGTTCATGACCATGTTCATGTCCATGTTCATGACCATGTTCATGACCATGTTCTTGACCATGTTAATGACCATGTTCATGACCATGTTCATCACAATGTTCATGACCATGTGAATGACCATGTGAATGACCATGTTCATGTTCATCACAATTTTCTTCACCATATTCATCACCATGTTCATTACCATGCTCATGATAATGTTACTGATGAAACCCATGTGTCATGAACAATGAACATGTTCATGATCATGTTCTTATTCATGTTCATCACCATGTGCATCACCATGTTCATCACCATGTTCATCACCATATTCATCACCATGTTCATTACCATGCTCATGATAATGTTCATGATCATAAGGATAATTACGTTTTATGCTTACATTTATTTATGATTAAAATTATCATAATTCAAATAATGAAAATAATGATCATGAACATGATTAAATTATGATAATGATTACGATAATGATGATGAATCTTAATATATATAGCAAATGATTATGATGAATAATTATGATGAATACTATAATCATATTTTCATGATCAATATGATGCTCATAATCATGATAAAGATAATAATAATGATGACAATTAATGATAATTATAATGATATCTAATAGTGATGAAAATTATACTATAGTAATAATAAAAACAATAATGATGATAAACACGATTATAAAAGATATGATGATATTGAAAATAATGATAATGATAATCCCGATCATAATGAATATAATAATAATGATGGATGGATAATTATCTTGATCATGTAATAATGATATATTCTATAATTTCTACAGAATACAGATGGTTCAACTTATAAAAAAAGTGTTTCCCAGGTACTATTTTATATATTTGATTATTCCATTTTATTCATCTATCTATTTAGCAATTGTCCAATATATTCGGCTTGTCTGTCTGCTTTTATCAAAAAAGGGCTGAACCGATTAGACCGAATTTCTTTTTGGCAACTCTTAAGACCCCAAGGATGATTTATAGAAGATTAAAATGACAAATTTTAATTGGAAGAATAAAATTTAACCTTTCTTTTTTTGAAAATCCATGAATTTAAAAAAAAAGATCTGCAAAATTTGACATTATTGGATAGCAAAGAAAAATTTGCGCCGTTTAAAGCAACAACTAAAATCAAAAATTGATACTTAGAAAGGGGTGCAAAGCATCCGAACAGCCTAGTTTTTAACAAATTTGTATATCATGACTTGTTCTAAGATTTAAAGTTTTTAATATGCATTTTCAGATGCCGTCCGGAGACTGTGATTGACAATTTTTTCAAAATCTTTGACCCTTGTCGAACAGGATTCATTAGGGAACCTCATGGTCAAATAAAAATAGGAGACAACATTTTTTTATTTTCAAAAAGAATATTATCAATTTTCTGTATGTCTGTCTCAAAGCCCCAAATAGGACAAATAGGATATATTCTATTCTGTAAACCTTTCATATATCAACTGTAAACCTTTCATATATCAACTGTAAACTTTTCATATATCAACTGTAAACCTTTCATATATCAACTGTAAACTTTTCATATATCAACTGTAAACTTTTCATATATCAACTGTAAACCTTTCATATATCAACTGTAAACTTTTCATATATCAACTGTAAACCTTTCATATATCAACTGTAAACCTTTCATATATCAACTGTATATAAACTTATCATATATCAACTGTGAATCTTTCATATATCAACTGTAAACCTTTTATATATCAACTGTAAACCTTTCATATATCAACTGTAAACCTTTCATATATCAACTGTAAACCTTTCATATATCTACTTGATCTAGCAGAATTATAGTTTAAAGTTTACGCGCGCCATTTTTCAAAAATTTTAATAGCTTTCTTTGCTAAATAGTGTGACAAGGTTGGTGCAGGTTTACAGATCTCCTAATAGTCTTCTCTATGTCTATGAGAGGATCAGGTGATTATAACTTTTTTTTTTATTTCTATAAAAATGTTGTTCAAGTAATTCAACAATTAATATTTGAAAAAACTCCATGTTGTCGCTAGAAAGTGTAAGATAAACAAAAAAGTTAATAAAGATGTCAAACAAAAAGTTTATAATTTTTTTTTGATCTTTTAGCGGAAGAAAAACTACACTGGGCATTCCGACTTTATGATCAGGTCTGTATTTAACTTTTAAAATACATATTTTCTTTTAAAATTAAATTTTTCGCAGATTTTTCGCTGATTGTATTTTCTATGATCAACTAACCCTCGGACCATGTGTTTCCCATAGAAATTCTATAATTCAATCAATTTTTATAAATATAATAATTTTTAGGATCGGAGTGGGGATATTGATGAAGAAGAAATGGTGGATATGTTTACAAAACTTTGCAGGAATTCTCAAAATTCTGGTTCTTTATGGGGGGGGGGAGGGGGAAAAAATTTTTCAAGTAAGAAATTTGTTATTTGAGAGGAAGTGGATGATTTCCAGAAACTCCGATAGATCTACTTTTAACGCTAGATAATACATAATTCCCAGTTAACCCCCCTCCCCACCCCCCAAAAAAAATATTAACTTAGTTGAGAATTTTTGTGTTTGATTTTCGGTTAAACTTAGGAATTTTTGTGCACAAACTTTAAAGATGACTGGCCTGTAAAGGCTTGAATCGAGTCTTTAATCCACCAATGACATATAATTTATCTCTGAGAAGGTTTAGCTATCAACGTGAAGATCTCCAAAGAAATCTTAGATCTAGCCAGAGATCCTAATTCAAAAGTTTCGCCCTTTGAAATCTTTTTTCCTGTTAAAGTGAGATTTTGATATTTCAAAATTTCAAGTTTGAAATATCAAATATATGAGGGATAAGAAAATATGAGTTTGTGGCAAAAACTCGAATCTTTTGTGCATTTTAATTTAACTAAAAGAAAATTGTGCATTTTTATAATAATTTATAGTATTACAGAGGACGTGAGTCAGACTCTAATAAAAACGCATAACAACTTCCAGTATATATATTTCTTATAACTTATTACTAGAGGGTTCAGAACTAGAGTCAATATCGATATCGCACGTGTAGACTGTAGAGATGATATCAGTACTAATGCCCCGTATCCGTTCTATCTCATTCTGTTGAATCTTGTGGAACTAGTTTAACGCGGCCAGGCATCGTCTTCCACA